TTGCTTATGTAAACAATTTGTTTTCTCTCTCCTGGGACAGTGTGTTTTGAAACAGACTTTTTAGAAGGCACTAAACCTCGTTTGTTGAAATGGTGAAACTGGGTCCAAGCACTGCCAAAAGCAGAGCATCCCAAACACATTGGTGACTCCATGTATTTACTGTACTGGGGGGTTACGTTATGCAGAGTCTGTTGGTGTCACTTCTCTTCTTTTGGATCGGAACCAAATGCAGTCAAACCCAGAAAGTAAGGCAGCAGTCAGGTGACAGGCTGTTTCCTAGGTTTAATTCTTGATGACACACTGGTACCAAAAGATTCCCATGACTGCCAGCAACAAACATCGGCAGTCATTGTGTATGGGGAAATCAGACTAAGCGTAGTGAGATAGAGGTTTACTTAGTCCTCTTAAAAATGAAAAATTAAATTGTTTAACAGCTAGTAAATTCCATCACTCTTGTTCTGCAGACAATAAAGAGGAAGCTGTCAATAGGTGAAAATACTTCTTAGGTTACATAGCACAGTTTCAAGACTTAACATGGAATTAGTTTATTGCTTCTACATCCGGTGCCAGTTATTTTTATACAGCTTCTTTGTATAAATTCAACAACATGGAAAAAAACCCTTCCAGGTCTTTCAACTGCTCTTAAAATAAACACCAACAAGTCCATCTCTGTCTTCTGTACCTCTGCTATGACATATCCCCTGCACAAACACGAAGCCATGTCCCTGGGGAGTCACAAATCTCGCGAGTAACTTGACCTGCTGTGACTGAGCTAGAGGAACTCAATCCAGCCTTAAAATTAATCCTTTTGTTCCCAGTCAGTCATCCTTTATTCCAAAACCACAGCAGCAAAGGGCAAATCAAGGAGAAAACAAACATCTTCCACAGTTTGTGGACCATGACCTCAAGTGGCCAGGACTGCTGTCCTGCATCTCTTCCTACTTTGCGAAGTTCCATTCCTGCCTACTGGAGGAGGTGAACATGAACAATGCCCAGCTTCCCTCTCTCCTCTGTCCATCCTGCCAATGATGTCTTAGCCTAAGTTTCCTAACACTGTTTCTGTGTACAACCAACACCAGCTAGCCCATGCTACCAGCACTGTAGAATTCTGCAGCAGGAGCTTCTTGTTTGAAACCTGCATGTTCAGTGAATTTCTGGCCATTTCTGCTTGTTAATCTCTTGATCAGAAATGGATTCCAAGCCCAGCAGCACCTTCAAACAGCTGTCATGCCTCTTAGCACCTTGCCACACAAAAGCACCTCTCTCTGATCTAAAATACAGCAAATCCACACAGAAACATTGCACCACATTTCACACCTACACATGAATTACTATCATACTCAGGCCTGGAAAAGTAACTGTTCAATTTGCCACTCTATGGCCATTCTGTGCATTCTAAGGCTGCAATGTAAAAAACTCCCTCTAAGAAATTATAATTTTGCCAACTGCCCCAGACATTTACAGGCATCCTTGGAAGATCTGACCTTTAAGTGATGAGCATCCTATGTGCAGTTTGGAGTTACCCTACACTTTCACACCACAGGCTCAAGGACTCAATGGCGCAGGTGCTTTGCTGAAATGGATCTGTAAGAGGAAGATCGAAGCCTTGCTGTGGTGAATGACTATCTGAAAGGCAGGGAAAAGACCATAGCCTAGAAATGGATTTAAGTTGCCAAGCAAATAACCATGTTGCCTTCAGTTAAAAGGTGGCCAGCTTCAGACAAAAGCCTTTCAATTGACAACCAGGTTTCTGCGCTAGCCACCAGAGCATGGATTAACAGATGGAAAGGATTCCATAAAATGCTGAAAGACTCACCCTGCAGGCATCATGCGCCATCAACTTTGCCAAAACTTTACATGAGCTACTCTACTTTGGAGTTTGTACATTCAGACTAAAAGGTGTGCACTATAGATGTCAGAGACCATGTATATAACCTGTGAGTGACAAGGCCTGGTATTTTATCTTGGTCTGGACCTGTCTAGTTTCCAGAGTTAAACATGATCTGTTGGCCTGAATTAGGGCTACTTTAAGAAAATGCACCAACTAGGAAAAGCATGAACAGAGAAAAAACGATGGCCCATTCAAGGCTAAAATTACATACATGGCATATAAACACTTTGTTGGATCGAAAGCTTACTGACAAATGACCTGAACCTACAATTCACCTTTCTTAAAATTCTTGTCCTTCTAATGCACCAGATTTCAGTGAAATGCTTCAAAGGAAGGTTTCCACTAGCAATATCAAGGCTGTCTTGCCATTCTGCTGCATACCTTGCCTCAATACAGGGCAAATGCCTGTAGCCATCATTACAATCCGATCCTGTGCAGCAAAGGATATATCCCCGCGGACAGAACTGTGCAGGGAACACAGCATCCACCTGCAGGTGGCAGCTGGAAGGCCCAAAACCAAAAACCCCAAGAGTCTTCTCATCCTGACTCATACATTGCCTCCTAGCAACAGTTTTAACCGAACTTAGGAACACAGGCCTTTGTGAAGGAAAAGGTGGTACGAAACAACGTCTTGATATCACAACTACTTTATTAAATTCACTGGTCCAAGTAAGGGTCTCAGTCCAGCAATCCTCAGTTAAACATATTACCCAGCTAACCCCAAGGCCCCCTTAGTTTTACATTCTGTACTCTGGTGATGCAACCAAAAGCCATTATTGAGATTATGTGAGCTAACATTCCTCTAGTCACGATTAGAAAATTGATAGTAACTACTGAAAAACAACTCTCACCCACTGTATGTTCTTTGAACACATAAAAACAATTAAAAGAAACACACAGAACATCAGTGGAACTGCCACAGTATTATGCACTCCTTGCCCTGAAATAAACCTTAATTAAAAGGTTGAATTTAGACATAGCTCTCAGGGTGCCATACTGAAGAGGACAAAAAAAGCAGCTGCCCCCTCCAGCTCACTGTGGAGTAGTAAAAACCATGGTTCTCTGGGACATGGCAAACAGAAGGCCACCAGCAGCATGGGAAGGCGCCTGGTGTGTCTGCCAAGAGAGTACACGGCTCCAGCAAGGATCAAATCACACAGGATCCGGCTAAAACATTTATCTGGCTTCCAGAGCTGTTGTAAACCATGTGGAAATACACCATAGCTACCACGATGTATCACCAAAAGTGATAGCTAACATATGCCCAGACATTCATGAAAAAAGGATGAAAAATATTTTTCATATAAACATCAAAAAATGAACCTGCACTGTAATAAACCAAATATTTACTTTGGCAGATCATATCTTCTAGCAAAAAAATATTGCAATAAAGTTAAACATTTAAAGAGACATACTGCAAAACAGATGCTGAAAATATCTTTGAAGGGCTTCCTGCCAAAGTGTAGGAGCTGTGCCTCTATCAGTGTAACAAACATGAACCAAGAATTTTTATGGAACCACTAAACAGAAACTTTGTACTTCGAAAGGAAAGGAAAGATGGCTGCTAAATTAATGGTGAACTCATTTTTCCTTCTGCTAAAAATTCCAAGCAATACAGTTCGCAGAGGATATACTACATAAATGAAGAACACCAATGTAAGTTAGAACTGAGCCTTTCTACCTAACTCCTCAAAGATCATTTCCTAAAGTTTCATGTCTGGGTGCAACACTGGTGGCTTGGTTCTTTTTCCCAGGACCAAGACTGACAAGAGAGAGAGAGATTTGTTTTCCTGTTCAGGCTCAGTTGTTTATTTTTCCTTATCTATATTAGATATTTACAGCGTACAAGGAGCTATATACACTAGGCTAACAAAGTGCAAAATGGCTGAAGAAGTACCTCTTCAAGGTGTTTTAAGTGTCAACCCATCCAATAGTGAAATGCCAAGTAACTTATTTTCATTACTAACCCAACAATTAGACATCCGCATCTCACAATACACATTCTTTCATCCGATCCCCTAATATTACCCAAAAACCCTAGAAGAAGGAGAAGGAGAAAAGGACAACGCCCCAAACCCTCCATGTTGTCTCTTATTCACTAATACAACTTAAACCCTCAACTCTAAATTTCTCACCCAGTGACTTAATATAATTCTAACTTACACACTCACATTCTCAGTTTCTCTACTTAGATCTAAAAGTCTTTTTCTCCATGGTTTTAAGTTAAACTCAGTGTTCTCTTGAGAGTCAGAGCTTGCCAGCACAGATCAGGGGATATCCTCTGTGCCTCTGACTCCAACAGTTCCAGTTACTTAAAAGCAGTTTACAAAGACTTCAGCAGCAATTCCCAGCTATAGCACACATTCAGAGAAAAGGTTCAGGATGAGTTTTACTGCACCTACTACTTCAGTCAATCAAGTTCAAGTTACCAGCACATTTTCTACTTCCACCTCCCAAAACTGAATTATCATAAACTTCCAAAACAACCTTCATTTTAACAGCTGTATCTAGATAGATCTAGTAAAACCAAAGTAAAAATTTAGGGATACGCTGTGGCACAGGTGTATACACAACTTAAATAACCTAGTGCACCCTAAAGGTTCTCAATCATGCATCCAGACAGTTGTGGTCCTTAGCAAACGCACCATGAGAACCCTGCTTCCTTCTCCCAAGCTATTCAGTATGTCCCAAGTCTGATTTTTATTCTTGCACTAACTACCAAGAATGCTGAGAGTAAATAATTGCCTTTTAAATCCCCAGCTGTAGCTAAAACAACTTACTACAACATTTACTGAGGGCTGACATTTCATAGTTGCCAATATCTAACTGCTTTCCTAAGAAATTACAGTCTCAGCAAGTTATACAGCATAAAGCATGCCAAGGCCCCAGCTGGCACAAGGATTCATGTTTATTTCTGTGAAGGTTATGGTTTTGGTTTGTGGCTACATTTAAAAAAAACCCAAAAAACAGTTTAAAAACCTAACTTCTTTGCAAAAGACAGTGAGGAGTTTCCCACACAAGCAGACCCAAAACAGGCAGCAGGCATCCCCAGGCCTCAATACAGGCCTTTTTTAATTCCCAAGTTAAAATTATCACAAGGCTCACTTACAGAGCCAGCACAAAGCTGGAGTACATGGCAACACCTTGCCACAGTAGCTCAGGCACGCAGGTTGGGCTGGAACACAACAGCTGGGAATTCCGTCGACCGCTCCACACAGGAGAAAGCCCCTGTGCCACAGCATCTGGCTTTTGCACTGAGCACCTGACCAGGCACCTGCAGGGCAGCGAGATAAAAGAGGGTGCTTGTAAACAGCATATCTCTGGGCACTGGCTCCCTGTGCTGCTCTGACCACTCACTCAGATCTGCCTTCTGCCATCCCCACCTGCTCCATGGCTCCAAGTCCCCACCTGAACCAGGGAGCCAAATCAGTGCTCCCCTTGTTTTCCACACATTCACTCTCAAGTGCATTAAGAGACACGCCTTGGCATGGCACAAATCATCATCCGTTAGGAGAAAATATTAAGCAAAGGATTTAGAGGAAGACAAGGCTACAGATCCACAGTCAAGTTAAGAAGGGCATGTCAGCATATACAATACACACCATTCATGAAAGCAAAACCAGTAATGTTTTGGGTTATACTCATGTTGCAAGTATGTACGTTTCAACAAAGTCAGAACTGAGAAGCCCTGGAGTTATTGCCTGGAAAGTACAGATTTGTATTTAGCAAATATAAAGCAGAAGCCAAAAGCATCATTTTTGATATAAAAAAAGTGCAAAAGAACCATTTAAAAGTCAAAAAAGTATCTGGCTATTGTGGTTCTTTTCTTCTCCCATACAAGTCACTTGTAGGACCTTGTTTAGAGCACTGTATTTAGTCCTGGGCATCTGGCCAGATGACATTCACATTCTGGAGCTGGTGGAGTGCAGAAAAAGAATAGTTTTAGGGCTTTTTTTTTTTTTTGAGAAAAGTCCCTCAGAAAAGAATTGTGTCTGCCTCTAAGCATGTATACATGAGGCTGGGGAGGTGACTTAACATCTCTCACCAGAGTCAATCTGCAGTGCTCTGCTGGTTGTAATGGAGCAACAGCAATTTGCAGCAAAAGATTTGTCCTTTAGTTTCTGAATGCCATACAAACGATCCAGTGCTTTCAGACTTTTCAGGACCCAGAAAGACAACACCTGCTTATGTGCAAAGCAGGGCTTTTACTCTTCAAAGACAAGTTATAGATAAGACATCTTCCATGAACATTAATTTACAAGGCTGTCTTGAAAACCCTGTTCCAAGATCAGGAGGAAAATGCACTTCCCTTTTCTTATCCTACCCTCTCATTATACAGTGCTCACAGACCAGAATCCTCCCTGGTGCAGCATCGTTACCTGTTTTCTCACACAACACCCAACACAAATGGGTACACTAATTCCAAACAGTAGATGACGATTACATACCACAAAATACTGTTATTCCTGCCAGAGGACTCCAGGAACTTCCTTTTGCTACTTTCACTTTACCGTGCTGAGATCTTCATACCCATCTCCCATTTTGCTGATGGCAAAATCCTTGCCAGCTCCAAAGGGAACAGTACAGCATTAATGCAAACCATTTTCAACTGAACTAATTGTTTAGATCAAAATTTCCAAATGAAACCAGAATGAACCTAATGACAGAACATGACTGCAGCTCCACAATTTCTTTTCCTTTATGTGTAGTTTTGCTCTGCTGATCTTAAGGCAGAAATATGGCTTTAGCTATTCTGCAAAATTTTCAATTTTACTTAAAAAACAATGAGTTCTATGTGTGCAGGCTTATAAAACCTACACAAGGCAACCAAAGTTACATGGATAAAGCCAAGCTCTTGGGCCTGATTCAGCCTTGACAACAGCATAAATTTAGAAGCAATTCCCCTGAAGTCAATAAAGCATAAAACATACTGTCAACAGAGAACTAGGCCCACCCTCCTTTGACTAAAGAATGATCCTCATAAAGAATGGACTTCACAAGCATGGGAGAACCTGAGAATGCTATGCTACATTATTATGCTTTTTATTTTGCCTGAAAACTTTAAGCAGCAACCCTCAGCTGAAACAGGCATCTACAAACACTACCATGCAGAGACTCCTGCCCTGCCTGCTCGGGCACAGAGCAGCAGCATGCACTTTACCCACATTTTTCCCAGCAGCACAACGCCTGAATGAGAAAAGGACCTGTGCTTCCACACTGCACAAATCTCTGCCTCTTGTCTTGCCAGTCACATCATCAGATGAGACAGACGATGCTTTTTGGGGCAGAATGTCCAGCGTGGAGGCAGCCATGGACTGCTGCAGGACATCTGGCAGGTCCTTCACCACCTTTCATTTCTGCAGCAGCCTTGTAGAACAAGGAGGCAGAGAAAGGACTCTGTGTGTTTGCCTTGGTCTACCTACAAAAATGTCCTTAAAGACAAATTAACACAGGTTGAGTTATAGCGCAGCGTGTCTACCCTGCCAGGTAAGGATCACACAGGGCCTGGACCAAAAGCAAGATCAGACCACGTACACACTTCAGACTCTACAGCCAAGAATGTGAAGCAGCAACAGCTGACATTCCACAAACAAACCATGTCATGGCTCAGAGCAGCTGAGACAAAGAAAATTCCATGTCCCTGCCAGCTCTTTTTCCTTGTCCTGTTCTAGCTGCAAATGCTCAGGACTCCTGAACACGTATGGCAAGGTGAACCAGAGCACCTCAGCACTGGATAACTGCAGGTGGTAGAATACCAGGCACCAGTAATGTCCACAGTAGTCTTACTCATGAAAGCTAAGAAGCATGCGTGACCACCTTTCTAGCTGCTCCACGAGAAGACACGGGATAACTGTATCGCATTAAGTGTCTCGATGTAGCATTTCATGTGTCAGGAGAAAGTTATTTCCAGTGTTCTGAAGTAAGACATGTATTGGAAAACTAGAGCTCATATCCATCCAATTCATACTACAACATCTCCGCTTTGCTACACAATGATTCAATGTAACACAGGGTACCCAATATTCAGTTACACTTCCAACCCCTCTCCTGACAGGCATTACCAACTGAATGGTATGTGACCCAAACAAAAAAAAAAGTGACTGGAACGCTTGACTCTACCTAGCAATTGTCTCCACAGCAACTCTTCACTGAGGAATTTTAGAGGGGTTTTTTGAGACACATCTTGAGAAATCTCCAATTGCATATTAGAAGTATGTAAAGCCTCTTACTCTCTTACTCTCGAGATCTGTGTGGTATGCCAAGTATTTATTACAGCCACAGGCAAGAGCTACGCAACCACAGAGCCTGCAATACATTTGACCACAGAACCAGCTTTCTGCGTGTTGCTCCACCGATGTCTGAAGGTACCATGTCTGCAAGGTAAGAGCATGATTTTGCTGTTGATCCCCTTTCTCCTCCTGATACAGAGACTCTTGGTGATCCTACTGGAACAATAAACTGTGGCTATGGTTTAGTGAGATGTTAAGAAAACACCCAAGTCCATATCTACTTGATACTCTATCAATCTCCTGCTGTTGATGGGAGATTAATTACCTCACTTATCACTATGATATGACAGCCACATTATCCTCATACACAACAGCAGCTCTTTAACTGCTATAGTAACAGTGCTGTTCTTTTCTTTTTTAAAGGCAGTAGGTCCCTTCTGAAAAAAAAATCAGTCACCCTTCTGTTCATTCATTCTCTCAGTAACCACTGTTTGAACTAGCTTTAAAAACAACTGAAAAATACCCCAATAGTTAAGTAGAAGAGCTAGTCTTCTTCTAGACCAAGAGAAACAGTAGCCACCCCTCTTGGTCCTGTCAGCTACACACCAGAACACCTTTCCAGGTGCCCACTCACCAAATGCTTCAGCAAGGAGGGGACACTGGTGCAGACACCAGACACAGACACCATAACCATTTTCCTAGAGGCCAAGTGAGAGACACTGAGCTGGCTGGGAGTGCAACAAGGGTGACAGAGCGATCTACCGCGGTCACTCACAAGAGCCCCCCAAGATACTGTATCCAGCTGTGCCAGCAGCACGGGCTGCAAACAGACCCCTAGCCAGCCTCATCCCACTTCCTCCTACTGATCTAATTAAATTGTCAAGTCCTAAGGAATCAATTAGTATTTTTGGAGCTAAACAGAGCTGAAACTAATGCACCTTAATATAGATCTGTCCTGATGATCTCGGTTGCATGGCTATACTGGCATGCTTTTACCACAACAAAACACAGAATTACTCATGGAACCAGTGCAGACACAGGTGAATTGAACACACAGCTGCTGTGGAGCAGCAGAGTCACAGCTGTTGAGCCCTTGCCTTTCCAAGCACTGGTCCATCAGCCTTCCAGCCCCCACCTAGCAAACACACACCTCTGCAGGTACCAGTACTCCACTCACCTGACCAGTTCCTCACCTGTTACCTCAAGCTATCCTCTGAGGGAGTAAGGGCTCCGGCCAGCACTGTCCTGTTCACCCCCAGGGCTTCTGCTGTCACGCAAATACCTGGCGGAAATTCTGTTCTGCGCACTCCTCATCCAATCAGCTGCGCTGGCAAAGGCACATAAAGAAGTAATTATTATTTTTTATTATTATTATTTAATAGAGCTTAAGAGTTACACTTTGGGAAATCGGCAAATAAAACAAATGAGAAGTGAGTAGCCTGGAAAGATGAGAAGATGACCTCACAGAGGAAAATACAGCGTCTGCTTTTCTACATCTACCACACCACACCTGCGTGAGCTAAAAGAAACTTTTGACATATTTACAAGGAAACATTGTAAACAACGCAGCCAGACACACACCGAGGCCCCAGGAGCCCCCGTTGCAGCCAGCAAAGGAGGGGGCCGCCCGGACTGAGGATTCCTCGTGGAGCAGGGGCTGGACTCCTGCCTACGGCAGGCGCTGCCGCGGCAGTGCCAGGGCCCGGGCCGCGCTAAGGGCTCGCACCGCGCTCCCCTCACGCGAGTCCGGGACACCCCAAGGGACAGGGAGCCGGCGGGACGGACACCAGTAGGGTCCCCGGCCCGGGGCCCGCGGGGACCGGCCCAACTCGGCCGCCCTTGGCTGGGAAAGGGGCAGAGCTTACTCTAGTAAGAGTAGGGCGAGGACAACGCTTCCCCGCGGCACCGGCGGCTGGGGCTCGGCTGGGCCCGGCCCTCCCGCTCTCGCGGGG